CCCTCTGGCAGTGGGAAGCCATTCCTTGTGTCCTGTCCCTCCATCCCTTGTCCCAAGTCCCTCTGCAGCTCTCCTGGAGCCCCTTGAGGCACTGGAAGGGGCTCTGAGGTCTCCCTGGAGCTCAGTGTTTGGCTTGGATCCCTTGGAGCTCAACCCACAGGGACTGTCTGATGAGAAACCCAACCTGGAGCCATCCCAGCTCCAACTCCATGGAATCATAGGATCCCAGACTGGTTTGGGTGGGAAGGGACCTCAAAGTTCATCCCATTCCACCCCCTGCCATGGACAGCAACACCTCCCACCAGCCCAGGTGGCTCCAAGCCCCATCCAACCTGGCCTGGAACACTCCCAGGGATGGAACAGCCACATCCTTGACCCTGCTTTGTCCACCTCCTGGGTGGTAGAACTTCCCCATGTTCCTCCTCCAGATGCCATGGAGCAGCCATCAGCTCCTTGGAAGGCTCCATCCTGCCCTGCTAGGAGGTGCTTCCAACCCTTCCAGCTTGTGCAGACCTCTTCTCTCTCCCAGGTCTGTTCCCAAGCTCAGCACGGAAGGTCCCACCCTCACCACCACCACCTCCAGCTCCCTCCAAAACATCCCTCCAGCAAGGAGCTCGCCCAGTGCCCTTCTCCAAACACCTCAGCCAACCTTGGGTCCGAGGCAGAGAGCACAAGATAATGATGGACAACCTGAGCTTAATCCCATCTCCTTGGGGTTCCTGCTCCATCCCACCTGGTTGATGTCTACCTCCTAGCTAGAGGGCAAGGACAACCTGTCCCCTGAGCTGCCTCCACAGCCCTTAAGTCACCCCCCAAGGGAGAGGACAGGACGTTGGTGACCCATCGGTGGTGTCCCTCAGGGATGAACCTGGTGCCTTCACACCTTTCTGAAGACATTGAAGTCCATCCATCAGCTAACACGTGTCCTCCTCCTCCTCCTCCTCCTCTTCCTCCCTCCCCTCCCACAGGACAAACATGCAGAGGAAGTGAGGAAAAACAAGGAGCTCAAGGAAGAAGCCTCCAGGTAAAGAGGAGATGGTTGGACTGACAGCTCCAGAGGGAGGTGGTGGAAGCTGCCGCAGCTCCAGGTCGGATTTGGTGGGAGAGTGGACATGTTCCTCTGCTTTCTTTGTTCGTGAATGTCAAGAGTTGACCGGTGAAAACATCCTATTCGTGTTGGGGAGGGTGGGGAGGGAGCAGGAAGGAGGGGAGGGAGGGATGGAGGGACGTCGTGGGATGTCCTACCTCCTTGGTGGCATCTCCACCAGGGCCCAAGGAGACACTGCGAAGCAGAGGAGGAGGTGACCTCCCCCTGAGGGGAAATTCCAAGGGGGAATGGAGTGGGTGGGGAGGGAATGGTGGGGGGAAATGTGCGTCATGTGTGACTTTAGTTTGGTGCTGGGCAGGTGGGCGTCCCTCTGATGTCTTCTCCTCAATCCCACCCCATCCAAGGGCATCTTGGTGGCCTTCCTCCCCTTGTTCCTACCTGGATGTGGAGTGTCTTGCCCAGATCTTGCCCTTCCAGCATCGTTTTGGGGAAGGGGGAGAAGGATCTCCTCATTGGAGGTGGTCAGAGTGATGGTCCAAAGGTGTAGGAGATGCTGATGGCCCTTTTCAAGGGTGACATTGGAAAACCCAGTGACTTCCCAAACCTTTTTTGTAAGAACCTCCCAAAACTCACCCTTGTGGGAATGATCTTGGATGAAACCCCTTCCTTTTCCTGCTGTAGAAGCCATTGATTGGCTCCTGGGTGTGGCATGGAAAGCAAGAGCAGGAGAAGACAACAGGGCAAGGATGTGGAAACCATGATGGAAGGGGGTGGGGGAAAC